AATCTAGGAACCTAATGTTGTGAGGTTTCTACTTAAGAGAGACTGAACACCAGACGTGAACTATAGTGACTAAAAACAGGTAACACACCCTTGTGAGTACAACACAGAGTATCACCATGGGCCTTTACCAGCACCACCTCACCTTGCTGTGCATTTTCCTTATGCTTATAGCAACTCCTCCTGAGGGGATCTGATAGAATCAAACCTACCATTTATTGACCTCCCTGAAGAGAAATGTAAGTCATATGATAGTAAGGTTTTAATCCATTTTATTCACTGTTAAAATTCTAAGAGCTCAGAATAGTGACTGGCATACATGGAACCATCACTAAATATTTGTTGAAAATTAATGAAAAATGGTAAACCATTAAGCCTAATTTCTTGGTGAATGAAACTGAAACTTCCCATGCCAAAAGCCTAACAATAAACCGTCCGTGTTTACATGTTCATCCCCTTCATTTCATCCTCTCTCTCCAGGAGACCAGGGCCTTCACCTCAGTGTCTGAATTAAGCAGTGCCTTATCCCTTTCCCATCCTATCAATACTAAGGTATGTGTACCTGTATCATGAAGGACTGACTCTAAGTACTTAGAACTTCAAGAAAGTTCTGTAACTCCCATTTATTAATTCTAAGCACACCAAAAGCTAAAAGCATGACACAGCAAAGCTTAACAAATATTCCTTAAAACTGAAGAGTAGTAGTGGAGGGAGAACAATAATAACTGTTATTAAGAAAAAACATATATTATATCTGTCAGGTGTCAGGCCAAGCATTTTACATCATGCATAACTTCTCATGGTAAACTCAGTGCTACAGATGAATATCATTATTTCTTCAGGAAAGTATTACCAACTACTATGATATACACTGACTTTTTTTTAGTATGTATTTTTCAGTTGTAGGTGGACACAATATCTATTTCATCTTTATGTTGTGCTGAGGATGGTGCCTCATGCATGCTAGGTGAGCACTCTTCCACTGAGCTACAATGCCAGTCCTGTGTTGACATTTTTTTTTTTTGCTGGAAATTGAACCTAGAACCTCATGCATGACAGGCAAACACTCTACCACTGAAATACATCCCAAACCCTTCTAATACACTTTGAATAAACATTACATTTTTTTACCCTTAAGGCAAGGAAAGTCCTAAACAGAACATGTCATAAAATAAAAGGATTCAAAAAAAGGGAAAAAGTTTTTAAGTCAATGTATATCTATTTTTCTAAGCACCTATTTTGTGTCTAGCACTAGTCAAAGAAGCATAGGATACAGAGGCTTAAGATACATTCTTGGTCTTCAAGGAGTTTATAATCCAGTCAGAAGGTGTCCTTTGATCTCAAGCAGATCAAGTTGCTTGTTATAATACCAAGATAATTTTTAGAAACATACATATTATATGTTTGCTACCTGACTTTTCAAACATCAGTTACTACTGAAAAAGAAGTTAAAAACATGTTTCCCTCCATTTTATTTGACAATTTCCATCTAATAGTGCTAGCAGCAAAGTAATGACTTTATCAGATTTGAATCCTATTCAATGTGAATAACTCATTAAATCCTATGAAGCCTCAAACCACATAACCTTCCCAATTGGAATACTTCATCTACTCTTCCTCTAGGAGAATTAATTTCAGTTTTCTGAAACTTTTCTTGTTTTCCTCCCAGAACTCTGAATCTGTTTCTACACTAATAATAAGAAGTATATATACTCAGTGGCTTGGGAGATTGAGGCAAGAGGATTGCGAGTTCAAAGCCAGCCTCAGCAAAAGTGAGGCACTAAGCAACTCAGTGAGACCCTGTCTCTAAATAAAATACAAAATAGGGCTGGGGATGTGGCTCAGTGGCTGAATGCCCCTGAGTTCAATCCCTGGTATGCCCCCACAAGTATATATAATGAGGTAGGAGAGAAGTTGGGGGAATGAGTAGAGATAAGGAGAAAGAAACTAATGTTTGTGGTAATGCTAAATTAATAGTCATCCACATAAAAACCATTGTTGAAAACAGATAATCACTAACACTCATTGTTTATATGCTTTATAGATTATAAAGGCATGCTGTCTCACACATTATCTTCTTTGAGTCTCGCCAAAGGCCTGAACTATTTCATAAGAGATAAAAAAAGTAAGGATCTTAGGAGTTAGATGACTTGCCAAAATTCATATCAAGTACAGGTGTCAGAATTAGTTTTCAAATATATATCTTTTAATTCAGAATCAAGGTAGGTAGGAGAGGAGTAGAGGCCCAAGGGCTAAAAGAGAAGATATGGTAGTAGGAAAGAGACAAAGGAGAGGAGAAAGTAAGAGAAGCCAGGACAATACAGAGTATGGAAGTCAAAGACAGAATTTCAAGAACTTGGGGACTGGGGATGTGGCTCAAGTGGTAACACGCTTGCCTGGCATGCATGGGGCACTGGGTTCGATCCTCAGCACCACATAAAAATAAAATAAAGATGTTGTATCCACTGAAAACTGAAAAATAAATATTAAACAATTCTCTCTTAAAAAAAAAAAAAGAATTTGACCCTTCTTAGCACCAAGGCAAGGATACCTGAGAAAGACTTTTTTTTTGGGGGGTGGAGTGGGGGCTTACCGGGGATTGAACTCAGGGGCACTCAACCACTGAGCCACATCCCCAGCCCTATTTTGTATTTTATTTAGAGACAGGGTTTCACTGAGTTGCTTAGTGCCTCGCTGTTGCTGAGGCTAGCTTTGAACTCGTGATCTTCCTGCCTCAGCTTCCTGAGCTGCTGAGATTACAGGTGTGTGCCACCATGCCTGGCTGAGAGAGAATATTTTTTAGCAAAACATAATACTATGTTTTTACACTCAAAACAGAGCTTGTTCAAATTATTTGTTACAATGAATTAATATTGCCAAAGTGCTAAGAGGAATGTCCAGAACATGCTTAAGTGTGACACAAGCATTTGTTAAATAAATAATACATAGCCATTCCTAATACTTGTTGATTATATTATGACACAATTTATATAAAAAATACCTGTGTGTCTAGCTAACTTTAATTCTCAACTATCCCATGGGGTGGAGAGTGGAAATAAACAGAATTTTAGCAATATTTCTCAATTCTGAAGAAAGGGAATTAGCATAATTCTGAAAAAATCTGCCTACCTTACAATACATGTTGGCTCATGTGTCCAGTGAACAAAAAACTTTATGGTAATTGTTTCACTTAATCCTATGACCCTAAGAATAAAATCAGGGATAGATTTAGGCCTTGTGGGGCACTACACTTTTAAAACTTAGAGGACGCTCTTTAAGAAAAAAAGAGTAAAAAATACCTTTTACTTATGCAAAACTTACAAAACCATAGGACCATAAGAGTACATTGGTAGGGCTCTCCCCAAGGGTCTTGGAAGGTACCATTGCAAGTGAGATGACCTCAAGTTTAAGCTCCATGGACTGCATGATATATACTTTTCTGTTAGATATTGAAAACACAGACAGAGAGAGGTAATAATATGAGACTCTCCCGAAGCCGTCACTACCATTCAGATTAATTCTGCCTGATTCTAGTGCTTGTTCTTTTACCATCACATTATCTTGCTTCCATGAAAGTTTAGTCTAGTTTATAAAACTTTACAAGGAATGCCTTCTGTACATAAATATGGAGGGAGCAGAATGTACTTACAGGGCAACAGAGGCTAAAGATTAATAGTATTTTAAAGGTTGGCTTAGTAAATGACTTCAAGATCTGCCAGTTCTACACAATCCTCATCCTATAGTAAGAGCATCCCATAGGAAATATTTAGGGTTAACCTTCAAGGTTTGGTTCTTTCAACAATGGATGGATACTAAAGTTATCCTGTCAAATCAGATCATGCCACTCCTCTGATTTGAAGCAGAGAAATTCCACCTACTTTAGAATAAAAGCTTTCCTGTGGTCTACCAGCTCCAATATAACCTGGTCTTTGCCTATTTTTTCAATGTTATCTCTCATTACTTTTCTTTTTTACTATTCCTAGTCAAATGAGCCTTCTTCTCATTCTTAAATAAGCCAGTTCTGTAGATGTCAGGCCTAGCTTGTTATTCAGCCTGGAATATGCTTCTCTTAGACTTTCTCATTATTAGCTTCTCTGGGTTTCAGCACCAAATTACCTCCTTATGAGAAAAACATCTGATGCTCTCCTCTCTACAGAAGAATGTCTTAGATTTTCCACCATATATACTTTGTTATATTTTTTTTCATAAAATTCATCATTTGAAAAGTTTTACAGATTTACTTATTATCTATTGCTCCTAAAGAATAAAAATTCAAGGAGAAGTGAAACTTTGTCCTTGTTCACAGCTATACCCCCAGTTTCTAGAACAGCAGTACACAGTAGTAAGTGGTAAGTATTTGCTAAAAGAATAACAAATGAGTTCCACGTGGTGACTCACATCTATAATCCTAGCTACTCAGGAGGCTGAGGCAGGAGGATTACAAATTCAAGGACAGTGAGGCCCTGCCTCAAAATAAAAATAAAAAGGACTAGGGAGGTAACTCAGTGGTAGAGGGCCCAAGTTCAAACCCTAGTAATAGAATGAATAAGTAAACAAACAAACAAACAAACAGCCTGTCACAACTCAGTTCTGAAAAATTAATCTAGACTACGAAGAATACCAGGTTTGAACTGATCTGCTTGAAATTACTCAGGCAATTTTCAATAGTTATTCTTTCTAAATCCTCCATTTACATCTATGAGGAGTGTCAAAAGACTAATCTAACAAAAGGAGCATAATAGTCAAGGTCCTTGTAATTCTATCTTATTAATCTACTTTACGTCAATTATGAAGTTAAATTTGTATGTTACGCTAAAAGTATATGTTTGTTCCTGAATTCTGACAGAATAGGAATGTTTAGCAATGCATAACTTTATTATTGTCTAAAATATGTAACATTAAGATTCATAGTCTTATATTCAAAATTTAAAAAACACAAGTTTATATTATATAAACAAATACTTATTATATAGTTACTTTAAGCATTGTAAATAAATACATACCTCCCAAAGCTCCACTGTAATCTAGGCTTTTCTTTTTAAAGCCATTAGAGACAATCAAAACAGGAACAACAACTGAAAATAGCCAACGCCAAGGAGAAATAGGCCGTAAGTTACCTGAAAAGTTATAAATATACAGCATGAGTCATGTGAAGTCTGCATAGTTTAGTTTTGTGAATCAGCTTTGCTAACAGCATTCTGGATCAAATACTGTCCTAAGTAGAGGAACTGAGATAAGTCATCAAAGTAGAACATTTATGCTGAGACTTATGTATTTTCAGAGGGGTAGTCTTCCAGGGGAATAGTCACTATTTCAAAGTTTTCAGAACTTTTTATAGCTATTTATGATGAAGAGTATCTCAAACATTTTTCTAAAGGTTGCATCCAGCTCACAGATATTTTGTTTAGTTCATGGATATTTTAGCTAGCATAGTATTTTCAAATAATTGAGTCAATATTTAAAGATGAGGAAATTTCATATAAAAATTCCTATTCTTCTGTTTAAAAGAGAAACTGACCAACATGGCAGAATCAACTGAAAAAGAAAGGCCACCTCCTTTAGAGGGGCCACAACCTTTCCATTTAAAATTTTCACCACTGGTACTAAAACTGAATGATTTCTTTATGGTAAAGAAAAACATGAATAACTGCTTGTGTCCATATTTTTATAAAAAATGGGAAAATAAAAGACAAAGAAGGTCAAGTTAACAACACAAAATAGGAAAAATCCTATTTCTGGATGTGAAAACTATTGATCCACGTCTAATATGCAAAAATCTGCACAACTTCCTTCATTTGCATCAGGCACTTGGGCCTAGGGGGACACTTCAGTTTAGACATTCTAGTTCTTTCTATTTAGTTACACAAGAAGTTTCTTCTCACCTCCTTTCCCTCAAACTCTCTCCCCTACTATGCATCATTATCAATAATCAGTCCCAAAAGCTTCTGTACAACAAACACCTGATTATTTATATGTCTTTTTGCACAAGGACTAAGTTCTGAAAGAGCAATCATAATCACATAACCATACATGAGTTCAACTATACAGGAGTTCACTTTCTCATTCTCCTTACCACTTTTTCCTTTGTTATGAACTGACCACTGCTGTTTTTATAGTCGTATCAAGGAACTTTGTATATAGGCACGCTTATGCTCTAAAGCAGGATCTGAATCCAAAGTGCCTAATATTTTTACAAAGTGGCTTCAGGCTTCAGGCTTTAAATGGAGACCTTTTTTTTTTTTTTTTTTGGCAGTGCTGGGGATTTTGCTTACTAGGCGAACATTCTAAGATTGAGTGATACCCTCAATCCTAGAGTTCTTATGAAGTTATCAAACAGCAGACAAATCCTTCAATTCCTTCAAATTTCCAAATGTAAAGATTATACTGCCTTTAATTTTTATTACAGAATACATAAAATTGATAAATTGTATTACAAATATTCTCATCAAAATTAAAATATCACTGAAATTGCTTCACAAATGTTTTATGGTGCTTATTTTTCACCAAAGTGGATAAAATAATTATATGAAATATAAAGACATTTTGAGTTAGGTATAAAGAGTATTACCATAAAGAGCATTTACTAACGATTTAAAAATGTTCATGGAACTGTTTATATTATCAGGTTAGTAAACTAAATTCAGGCTATCAAAGGTAAGACACACAAACATTCACAACCATTCAGAGGATGTGTGTGGAGAGCAGATATGTTCTGCTCTTGAGTTGTTTCATGCTGTATAGACCTGCAGTGCCTAGCCCTGAGTTACTCCATTTTATAAAGCAGCAGTTTGCCATGAGCTGCTCCATTTTGAGTACAAGTAATTAGGCGAAAGACTTGGTAATTCGTCTGGGTAAATAGATAACCACAGATATTGTACATACCGAACATAGTGACAAATAACCCTCAGATGCACAAAACAATGTGCAAACTGATACAATACATTAATTGTGCTAATTAAAAATGACCACGAGTGAACTTATTAATTTAAATCAGCACATGGTGCACAGGTGTTTCAAACCCACAACAGAAACCAGGCATGCCTGTGAGTTTATGAAGTTTCACTAGATGCCACATCTTTATCTGAAACACACAAAAAGGAAGAGAACCTAATGACATGGGACACACTGAGCCCCTCACATCATCTCAACACATCAAGAGGTTGAGAGGTAACCGAATTCCTGTCTCCAGGGCTTCAGCTCAATTTGATCTCCCTCCTTGACACAGCCCATTTAAAATTGCCTAGAATAAGTTCCCAGCCTTGACAGCTCTTTTCCCTGAATAAATTCTTTGGTAGGTTTATAATTTTATCTGACCACCTACACGACTCTTTTGCACTTGTATCTGCTCTCTGCTTTGCAGTCAGTGTAGCCTCCAGAAACCCCTGGATCACTGTTAACCATTCCTGAAAATTATCTATCTTTGCATAAAGTGAGTATTACAGATATGAATAAATATTGGAATGGAATAAAAGAATTTGTGATTGTCTCAGTTATGACGCCAAGTAAACCATGACTATTTTTGGTGAATTAACACTGATAAAAGTTACATAGCTTGTGAATTTGTTATTCAATAAATTCTGATATTGTGAAAAGAGACAAATATGTCTGGTCTATGCTAACAGCATAGCTTGCTCATGACGTGAGTTTTGGATTTTATAAAGGTACAGTCTCAAATTCCACCAACTACAGAAAAACAAATTAGAACATTCCTACTTACCATAATAGGTGCTAGCAGTCATTGACATAATCCAGAAAGCTAAGGAAATGCATATGATCAGGCTCAATATTACTATGTTTGTAATCATCTTCATGTATCTTTTGCATACAGTGTCATCAAGATCTGTCATGGAAAATAAGGATATGAACACCTGAGGGAGAAAACAGAACGTTTCTAAGAGCAAGTCATTTAAGTTGCCTCCAAAACACTCATTTAGAGGCAAATATAGATTCCAACATCTTCCACCAACACAAAAAGAAATATAAACTCAAACTCCTTCCAGAAACGTGCTGATGGAGAGCTCCAACTCGTCTGGGCGAGAAGGCTCACTGTTATAAGCATGGGTGTACCCTCTAGGGCTGGGTCTCCACACTCTGGATCTGAGCTGGGACCCCACGGGAAAGGCGGAAGGGAAAGCAAGGCAGCCACTAGGCAGTCAGATCTGGAGAGCTCCGCCCACCGCCCGTCGACCGTCGCCTCCCCGCGTGCCTTCGACCCGAGGAGGTCCTCAGTTGCACACAGGCAAAATGAGGAACCCGAACCTGGGCGAGTCGGGGAGCCGAGCCCCAGGCGGCCGAACGCTGACACGTCCCGACAGCTGCCTGCGCTGGCCCAGGTCACAGTCCAGCTTGCCAGGGCCGATAGCCCTGGACCCCAGCTCGTGCTTCACGGCCCTTCCCCCCCCCCCTTGCGGCTAGCGTCTGTGCGCATGCGCTTTAGTCCGTCACGAATCCGCTTCGCCCACTTCAGTATTTAAAGGGGAAGCGTCAGGGAGGTGCTGGAAACCTGGCCCGGCGCGTTTGCTCTGCGGTGTTCCTAAGCCCCTAGGTTTGGTGACGTCCTAGACCGGGTAAAGTGAAACTGCAGCAGCGCAGTTGGAAAAACGAGATGTAACTGATTTTAGAATCAGTAAATGCATTTCAAGCATAATATTCTTATATTCTGTGAGGGCATGCCAAATAACTTTATGACTATTTGGGGGGAGGAGAATATGTTAAGTTGTAGAAACGGAATTTTGTGGCTTAGGAAATCATTTAAAACACACAGTTTAGCTGGGAGCGGTTGGCACCGCCTGTAATCCCAGACTTTCGGGAAGCAGAATGATTGCACGTTGAATGTCAGCTTTGACCCTGTCTCAAAGTCCAAAATAAAAAAGGCTGTGGATGGAACTCAATGGTGAAGTGCCCCTGGGTTTAATCTCAATACCGCAAATAAATAAACGAAAATAAAGTAATAATTGAAACACGCTGTTTAGTCCCTATATGGGCCAGACTCTAAAGATAAAGCTAAACTTCCTGCTAGTAGATTCTCATATAATTATTTTCGTAACACCACTTAACATTGTGAAAACGTCTGCCCTCGCACTCATAAAGTATGTGCCTTCGATTCAATTTATTTAAAAAGCGAAAGTCTTCTTAGCAATAATAATTCATCTTAGCTGATTTTGTGTTTTATTTGCAATTAATGTTTTGTTTGCCTTAGTTAATAGTAACTGATAATTATATTTCTGATTTTTTTTCAGTTACTTTCTGATAGTATAGGAAGAGTGAAGACCGGTTCAGATGGTTCACAATGGTGGCTTAACCCAGTAGTTACTTTTAAAAAACGCATATTATTTCCACTAACAGTAATTACTTTTTAAAAACGCACATTATTTTGAATCTCTAAATACAATTTACATGCCTTTTCTTTGGTAAAACATCTAATTAGCTAGTCAACAAGACCCAAATCTGTTCAGTAGTTCTAAATATAGTAGGCTTGTTTTTATTGGACTGTACATGTTCCTTCTATAGAAATTTATTATGTACCCACTTTATTTTCTGTCTGTTTTGCATAGACAATCAGAATTACCTGTCTAGTATTAGTGTTACCAGATTACAGACTATTGGGTAGTTACAATTAATAATAAAAGCAGATGTTTTTATGGCTTGCAGTGACCTTGTTGTTTTTGGTCTCTCCTTAAACAAAATTATGAATTGGTCTTGTTTGTTTTGCTTCATCACAGTCATAGGGAGACCTTGTCCATCAGTTGGTGTTCCGAGAAGACCACCATCTACAATCATCAGGCCATTCCCTTAAAAACATTGAGGTCTATCTGTGTCAAGTCAGTTCCTATTGTTTCTTGTAATTGTTGGATCTGGTTAAAATTGCATATTAAATCATAGTACCAGTGAACCGGCCCTTTGTTACCGCTGTTTACCAGTCCTTGCTTCCCCGAATGCTGAAGTATAACACCAGAGAAGCACGTGGAGCCAAGTGTAGAGTGGAAAGTGGAAGGCTTAATTAAAGGACAGCAGAAAAGACTTCTCCCGAGAGGAAGGGGACCCAAAAGGTGGAATTGTGGAAGGGCGAGGCTTCCCTTTTTAATAGCTAAGGTCTTCTTTTAGTTTTCCCACATTCATGTCCTTTGTTTCCCTTTATGTTGCAATGATAGAATGCGCTGGTGGGAAGGCCAAAAGGTGGGAGATAGATGGGTTGGAGGAGTAATCTGGGCGGGAAGGGCCTGTGGTAGCAGTTTGCTGGGAGCTACTTCATTAACATTTCCTTAGGATGGGTTCCTGGACTTGGGGACATTAACATTTCAATTTCCCCAAGTGCTGCTCTGGTTTCCTGGACTCCATTCTCAATAATGGTCTCCATTTTCTTTATCTTACTCGATATTAGACCCGATTTACCTAACTACAATACCAACCTACCTTTAAATCTGGCTTCACCTTCAAATGAATATTTCTCCTCCAGGGCACAAGTATTGGTGGTGTTCCCCATAAAACAAGCTATTCTAGCTTAAGACTGAAACCATTTGGGGGAATTGAAGTAGCCAATATTAAGATAGTATTTTGTGAATTATTTTTATAATCAGAAAAATATTTTAAGATCACAATCTTTTTGTTGTTAAAACAATGCTTTGATAATCATCTACAATTAAATCTTTGTGAGGGCCTCATATTCTCAGAATAGACTCCTAGAAAGAGCACTTTTATAGCCCTTAATATATCTAGCGTAAGTTGCATAAGCAGCATTTAAAATAGTGCAAATAAACTATAATGTATATTTATATATAACTTCAGCAACAAATGGGAAACTAATTCCTCTTCAGTGATTTAAAGATCATTGTTTTACAATTTGCTTCAATTTAGGAAGAAGGAATTCTGCAGAATCTGGCAGGGGGAGGGGGGGTCAAATTGGGGAAGGACTTAACTCAGGAATGTTTGTAGTTTATAGAAATAACAGACATGACAGTAATTTCCTTGGAAAAAAGTATTTAATATTAACAAACTTCAAATACATTTTTGTGAATACAATATGCAGTTGTTGAATATACAGTACAAAATCTTTAATTTTAGAAAGCTTCCAACTGTCCAGATATCAAAAGAATCCTATTTCTTGTATAAAGATGAGCCATTTTCCATATCATACCAAAATTAAAATTGACCCGTATTCTAACACTGAGAAATGAGATAGAATAAACATTAAGTCTACCCAGAAAAGAACAATGACCTCATAGATTATCTGTATATACACATAAAATTATATATATATTTTTTTAGATGATTTGTATTATTTTAATAACTAGATTTATGTTAAAGGGTTAGAATGTGGAGGGCAGAGGGAATTTGAAGGCAGAAGACCTGTGTTCATTCTAGAATTTTTTTAGACCACAGTCATTTATATTTCTTCTTTTTTTAAAATTTGTTTTTTAGTTGTAGATGGACACAATACCTTTATTTTACTTGTTTTTATGTCGTGCTGAGGACTGAACCCAGAGCCTCGCACATGCTAGGTGAGCTAGGCGAGCGCTCTACCACTGAGCCACAATCCCAGCCCAAGGCATTTCTATTTCTAGTGCAAGTTGGCACAGTAAATGTCTGAATAAATAAGTTAAATCAACAGAGGATTCTTATGAAAATCAGATACTACCACCTACCACACTTAAGTTTTTAAAGAAAAAGTAAGAGAACAAATGGATGCCAACTGTTTTTTAAAGAATGAGTTACTTTATTTTAGAAATCTATAATAGGGTTTGTTAAATATCAAATTTCAAATAAACTCCAGTTCTTAGCTTTGATGTAATATTTTCTTTATAGCTGTTTTCCTTTTAGCAAAGATTCTATTACAGATTAGATCAGTGTTCATTTTAAAGGGTAAAAATGCTCAGAAAAATTCAGTTCAAACACCAATGTCCTTCTACTTCCTTTGGTAAGTCTATAAGAAGAAATCTGAGCTGGGTGTAGTGGCCTGTAGTCTCAGCCCTTAGAGGATCCCTTGAGTTCAGGAGATTTAAGACCAGTCTGGGCAAAACAGTAAGACCCCAATCTCAAAATAAATAAATAAGTTTCATTTCAAAAGAAAATTATTTGATTATATGTTCTCATTGACTTCTACTTCCAGTTTTTTTCAAAGTGCTTTATACCTTTTGTAGCATTTTCATATGGTATTATATTTCTTTCACGAAACTTTGAGCAACATAAGGGCAGAATATCACATTACATTCATCTTTTTTTTTTGGATTTAACATAGGCCCTTTTGTGAGCTAAGAACACTCTACTATCACAAAGGTACACCTCCCGCTCAATATTCACCTTTATATCATATCCTTTAACTGTTTGGTTAATTGCCAGTAGACACAATAAATGAACACAGGATCTGTGTTGTGTTCAGCCAAAGAAAGTTATTTGGGTTAGTTTTATGGTGTTCGTGCTAAAATCTATCAGTAAACTGAATATAGGATTTATACATTCTTTCTTACATTTTTCTCTGTGAATGAAGTTTGTCTTAAGGTGGACAGATATCCGTTAATAAAATAATTTAATGCAGGAAGGATTTTGAGCATGTTACCAGTATAGTAATATGAAAATTATAAGGTGAAAACAAAAAGAAATTACTCTAAAATTGCTGAGTGGTAGTTGATTTCAATGGTGTCAAATAATAGTGAATTATGATTACATTTGCTAAAAGCTTATTGTATTTTATCTGATTTTTAAAATGTTATCAAGATACTGTGTATAGAAACAGGTTGCATTAATGCTTTGTTTTGTATTTGGAGTGGGAGGGGTGAACTACATGAGATTCTATACTTGGAAAATTTATGTTAAAATGATTATTTACTCAACTTACTTTGAGTTAAAAGTAAATATTATCAGAGTGTTTGTT